CTTCTCCTAGCCAAAAGCCAGAGAAGCACAAAATGGATCCTATCGTGCTTCAAGCTTCATCACCAACTTCAGGCTGAAGCCTTTATACTCATGGCATCACAACCAGGACAGAGATCAGACCTCAGGTGAATGAAGCGGAGGAAGGATCTCACAGATAATGGTGTTTGCTATTGTAAAGTAATTGAGCCCAGGTACAAAATTTTCCATGGCATAATCTTCCATCTATACTTCACCTGTCTCCCTGCCTTCAGCAAAGCTTAAAAAAAACCAAAAAAAAATAAAAAAACCAAAAAAACCCCACACCCAAAAACCCAAACCAGAGCTTACCTTCTGCACTCGAGCTTTCACCACCAATCCTGGTAGTAAATTAGAGAGGGTCCAGTTCTGTCGCTCTGTTGCAAGGGATGCAGCAACCTCCGATCGATCAACAGACAAACGGACCACTCTTCCCTCGTTCTTTACTTCCACAATGACACAGTTCAGGTTCTGGCCTATTTTCAAGTCGGGCCCTACAAAGACAAGTCACAGCATTAAACCTCCACCAGAAAGGAACAGTAACATAGCCTGTCAGGAAACAGGCTGAAACCCAAAAGCTTGTTGCAGAACAGCCACAAAACTGCTGTTTTCAACAACTTGCAAAGACTCCACCTTGACCCAAATCTCACTGAGGTTCACTAACACCATAGATGTAACAAGCTTTAATCCCTGTCATTCTCCACCTCCATTTTAACCCCAGCAGCTCCTCCTGCACTACTTCTTACCTCTCTTGACTGCTTTGATGTAATTTTGGGCTTTCTGACGAGGCAGGAAAGCATGAGTCCCACTGACCCCAATATCAATGAGGTAGCCATGGTCTTCCACACTAGACACAAAGCCAGAGAGCAGCTGTTGGGAGGGAAGCGTTGTAATTCAGTAATGTGATGAAGCAGCTGGGTCTTCAAAGAATGCAGATCTGGTAAGAGATTCCCCACACAAATACTCAATTGTTTCATGAGGACAGAGCGCCAAATTTTCTAGAGCAGCAGAAAGAACACTACATTCTTTCTTATTACAGAGCTCATCTGACAGTGGGGTCTCAACTCTACCCTTATCCAACTATGTGTGTATGGAGTTCACAAACCAGTAGGGAACAAAAATGGGATTCGCAAAAATAGCAGGTGCTCTAATTGCAGGCACATGCCTGCAACCGTACAGCTGGAAACACAAAACCTAAACAACTAAGCAGCTCTGCAAGCAAGTTAAATATTCTCTGCATAAATAACAAAGAAACCTACTCAGAAATAAGTCACTAAATAACTTGTCCATCTGGAAACAGATTCACATGAATGGATTTCATTCAAGACCCAACACTGCCCTCTCCTCCCAGGTCTCTTCCATGGCAGGAGCAGCTCCACATTCTGCTCTGCTCCCATGCAAGGACAAACTGCAATGTTCCCCCATGCACTGTGCAAGAAGCACCTCCAAAGCCTAGAGAGGCTGTGACAAACCCAGAACACGTACCATGCCTGATGCTAGTGCTGAAGCATTCAGACCCTTATTGACCTTCTTGGGGTCGATTGATAACTTGATACTCCGACGCCCGTCAGCACTTTTCTCAACACTGGTCACAACACACCTGACCAGTGTCCCTGGAGAATACATGTCCGAGAGCGAATTCAAGTCCTGCCCAGCAAGATAATCAAGAAAGAAACATACAAATTTTACAATATCAAATAATATAAGAAGGCCAGAATTTGTTACTGAAGCAGCTTTTGAAATCAAAATCCCGTAGGAAAGTTCCATTTCTCTGTCAACACTACAAAAAAGACAGAAGATGCCACAGACACCAGGATCTCAATATAGGGGCAGGGATGACATTACATGACATTAGCAAGTCTAGTAGGCTTTGCTTAAAAAGGAATACTGTGTGGGCCAGAGTCAGGAGGTTGTGGCTGAGAAAACACGTCTACAGAGCCAACAGTGACCCTAACCTCACCTCCATCTTTAGCAGGGAAAACACCTACGACCAAAATGCTAGCAAATCTGGCAGTTACACACCACATTGGAAAAATTTATGGAGCGCTGACACCAGAGATGCAGGATAACAGATTACTCCATTCTTGTTCTTTCTAGCAATCATCATTATCAGGAAATTGCAAAGTTTGCTTGGAAAAGCCCGATCCAAATCAAGATCAGTCTACGCTACCACTACGCAGCAGCACGTTGCATGCAGCAACACAATGAAATTGCAAGGACCATACTAACCCCCACACCCTCACATCATCTTCCAACTACTTCCCTAACTTCTTCCCACCACTGCCTACAGCCAAGGATCAGTATTTAGCTCCAGCAGCAGATAGGCAGCACAAATCTCATGTTCAACAGGCTGTCTATGAAAGTTCAAGGACTATTTAGCCAAGGCTAAGGCACTGCAGGTGATCAAATTCAAGTCAGCTGCGAGACACCAGAAACCAGGCTGCTAAGCAAAACCTCAGGGTTGATTCTGAGGTACTAGTAATAGGCCTTAGCTCCCAGGCACAAATCACAGCCCCAGTCCAAGGTCTCACCTCCAGCAGTTCTCCTTGGGCCACCTGCTTGCTCAGCATTTTGCTGTAGGCATCGCTGATCTGCGTGACTGGCACAAATCCTGAAAGTCCATTGGGCAAGCTGATTACTAGCTCGTAGTCACTGACCTCTTTTATACAACCAAGGAGCAGCATCCCTTCACAGAGTGCCTAGGAAAGCAGGTAGAACAGCATACAGTGGATATCATGGCAAGTCAGTGACGACAAGGTGGTAAACACACTTGCGTCCTGAAACACTACTGTAATTTACAAGTTTAGTGAGGAAAAAATGCCATTTTTATGCAGTCCAGAAGAGAGATGCACAAAAAATGAAACATTTATCCACAAACCTCAATTGTGAGTGGTTCAATATTCACAACACTATCTTTAGCAGCAGCTATTTTGTCTGCCTTGAACTTTTTCTGCTTTCCTTGATCACTTTGGCTCCTTTTTCTTTTCCTAGATTGTTCTTCATGGTGAATCTAAAGCAGATTATATGCAGAGAGGAAAAAAAAACAAAAGCAGATAAAGGATGAATTTTGCACTAAGGCAGAACTCCGCTGCCAGGAATAAAATTAGAAGAAAATTCTAGGATTAGAGAAAAAAAAAAAAAAAAAAAAGAGCATGGCTTCGCTAACTGTTTTATGTCTACATGCAAGTCTTCCAAAATATCTCCTTCTGGGGTAAAGCCGACCATTTATAAAACTGTGAATCTTGGGAATGCAAAAGAGTGGCATAAGTGATCTGTACCACTAAACAGAAAAAGAAAGACCTAGCCTTGCCTATATCCATTAACATCAGGACAAGTTGCTTGTGGGAAGTTTAAAAGCTAAACCCTGATTGATAATTTTGATTTAACTTTTTCTCTCATCACATTCATCATACATCAGACATCAGGGATCTTAAACAAATCAGAAGAAAGGTGCATGTCAGCCGTTATCTCTTTCTGGAAGTCCCTTCTTTAGTTTACTATAGAAGTAAGGGATGGGAAGGATTATGGGTCATATTCTGACAGTAGAAGAGCTCTGAGAAGAGTTAATCAAAAACATGCAAACATACATCAAACAAATTGTCCCGCTCTAACTTTGGGTTGGGGGTTTTTCCCTCTGTGGGTTTTTTCTGGACGCCCCCTCGAGGAAAGTTTTCTTCTATGGCTGCCATGCTTGCACTTCTATGGGACAAATGGAAAAAAGAGATTAAGCTTGCAGTCATCACTCTTGTTCCTCACAAACACTGAAGAGACATAAGAGTCAATTACCCCCAAACTAAAAGAATTCAGATGGCTACTTTACAGTTAAGTCAGTGACAAAACAGAAACTCAGGTTTCTGTTTGACTGCACTGAAGCGTTGCAATGCTCCATCTAAATACATGCATCCCTCACACTTTTTACTGTTGCGCAGTTGTACTAAAGTATTACTTTTTTAAGACAGATAGATGCACCACATATTCGTAAAACTGCTTTAGCCATAAGTTTCCCGAACAGACCTTTATTACATTCAGAGGGGAAGCTGAAATTACCAGCTTCAGTCATCAAGGAGAAAGTTGTGACTGGAATGCTAAGCTTGGCCTGCATTTTTACTTTTTGGATACCACCCTTAAAATATAATTTGATACATGTTTGTGTAAATTACAAGTACTTATACATACACACACATATATATATATAAACCAGATATGTTCAACCTTACCACGTTTCAGTCAGTAAACAACACCTTATTCGTTAGGTCACGATTCACATTCTATTTCTTACTTTGGACAACAGTACTTCTGCAGAAATTAGCACTGAAACACCATTTTGTCAAATTTACAGTAGTCTGTTAGATATATAAAACTACTTTGAACGTGAAGGCACATAATAAAATTAAAGTTCATCACGGCACGCTTCATCAAGGGGCTCGCTAAGCAACAGAGACACCTCCTAACGGCCGGTAGCT